GAAAGACAGATACGATGACATGTGCTCTATGTGGTCAGCCAGAATTCTTATCTACACCCTATTAAGTTAGACTATTTTATTAGACCACATCAATTCTGCCAAGTTGGTGGACAGTTATAATGAAACAAGAAGACAGTCAGGCAGACGTGCGAGCGCACACACACACACACACACACACACACACACTCACAAACGCACATGTACACACTGCAGAGGACTGAGCACTATAGTCCTCAGGTCCTTAGTGAATTTCAGAGAGTAGTTTGGAGGAGGACAGATGTAATGACAGGCTTCATCCACAACCCTGACAGAGCTGACAAGCTCTCTAGACACGAGGATTATCAGGCAAGCGCTGTCTGCAGTGTATGGAGGCAGGCAAATAGAGGGAGGAGGGATAAAGAGAATGTATGGTAAGAATGGAAAGAGAAAGCCAGGAAGGGACAGTAAGAGAGAGGCATGAAGAGTGATGGAAGGGAGGGAAAAGGCATGAAACAAAATCAATTTTAAGAGAAGTGAGGGAAAGACACGAATATATCTCATGGAGACTGATAAAGTGAGAAAAAGAAAAATCAGAAAGACCACAATGACTAACTCTACATTGTCAAAAAGTACAGACACACTGATTAAGGTACAGTGCAGATACTGCAGCTACTGTACAGCCTGACATGAAGCAGAAAGTAGAACAGATAGAAACATAAGCGGCAGTGGCTCCACACCCTAACTAGCCTATCTCTGAAAAGCACACTGCACTGCAGTTTTGCCCATATGTGACCCACCACTGTTGACTTAATTTTCACTCATGAACAACAGCAGTTTCTATACAGTCCCATGGCATATGTTTGACATGTAGTACAGATAACTGAGATAGTAATAATGTACTGTAACTCTCTTTTGACAATATGACTTATTTAAGTGAAATCACAACTATAGTATCTACTTATGCATACATACAGTATATACTCTACATACCACCTGGATATCTGAAATTATGTGCTAGCATTCCTAGGGCACTAAATTATACTAAGGCACTCTGCAGGGTAATGTTCAGTATAATTTTTTTATTTGTTAAGATAATTCACTGTGAGCTGTAAATATGCCTCTATACTCTGAATAAACTATAATACCTGAATTGTCCCCACTCCTTAAATTATCAGTTATCTCTATGATGGTGGTTAAAACACACAGACACATGCTTGTATATAGATTTGTGATGCCCTAATATACTTAATGTATTCCCTTGCAAAATAAAATTCCTAAAACTAACCCTTAATATTTCTTAAAACAAAACCAAGTTCTAAACCCAACAAGGTTAATGTTACCAAGCTGCTCAAACTAGCCTTCAATGCAAACTGGTGTCCTTTAAAGCTATTTTTTAACAAAAATGTTCTCCATCCATTCATTAGCTATACCAGCTTATCCCTTACGTAGATGTTCATGGGGCTGATTTGGAATTAATCCCTGGACAGGTTGCCAGTCTAACTGTGAAGATACAAAATCTGCACAGAAAGGCTCCAGCTGGCCTGCAGGTTCCTACCCAAAACCTTATTGCTGTGAGGCAACAGTGCTAACCTCTGCACCACTGAAAAATATCCTCAAACTCTCAAGCTAGTGGACAAACATGCACCCTTAAGGAAATGTTTGTTTAAAAATAACAAGGCACCATCTCTCAATGATGAATTGAGGTCGATAATTCAATAAAGGCGCAAAGCCAAAGTGGATGCAAATACTGTATATCAGGTCCCACAGTAGATAGAAGATTATTTTGTAGACTGAGGAATATCTGTACATACGTTGTTAAATTACAACAAAAAGAAAGAATATTATAAATGAAGAATTCAAAGCTCAAATGCTAGTAAGAAATTGTGGAAAACTGAATGAAATACTATTGCTCAATATGCATATAGGTCTGGATGTTCTACAAGCACTGCCTTGTTCATACACTAGATAAATGGTTACCATGTTTGGATAAGAGAAAGCTTGTGGGGCCTGTATTTTTGGATTTTACTGCTGCTTTTGGTGTTATTGATCATAGCATCCTTTTTGCAAAGTTACAGTGTTATGGTCTTTCATCCTTAGCTGTTTCCTGGATGGAAAGCCAACTCCACTGTAGACTTGGCAAGTATTTTTTAATGGCAGTTTCTCTGAGAAAAAGGATACATCTTGTGGAGTTTCACAAGGACGTTGTTTAGGTCCATTGTTATTTGCCATTTTTTATAAGTGACCTGTCTTATGCAGTTAAAGATGGTGATGTAGTATTGTATGTCGATGACTGCTCTGTGACTCACTTAAACTGGATTAATTAAGAGGAGCTTTAAAAGGAGTACTGCATTCTGTAGTAGATTGGGTGGAGAATAAATTGGTTTTAAACATAGACAAAACATTAAGTATAGTTTTTGGTAACAGAAATGGTCTTGCAACAGATGATCCACTTAATTTGTTAATTGGTGGGAGACCCATTGAACAGGTCACAAAGACCACATTACTGGGTGTTAAAACTGATAACTTACTGTCTTGGGCAGATCATATTGATTATACTGTTTCTAAGATGGGAAGAGGAACTGCTGTTGCTTGAAGATGTGCTACATATATTCGAGCTTCAATAATGAAAAATATTATACAGTTATTAGTTTTATCACATCCTGCATACTGTCCAGTGGTCTGGTCAAGTGCAGCTGGTAAACACATAAGAAAATTGCAAAATATTCAAACTAGAGCTGCAAGATTGATTCATCTTTCATTGCAGTGCCAGTGTGAGTGAGATGCCTAGACAGTTGGAATGGAGGATAATTGGAGCTAAGTTAAAATCTGGCTTGTCGCTATTTATGCATAATGCAGTTTACAAAAATACAGTCCCATTTTTTGCTAATATGTTAGTGTATATAGGCTCTTCCCACCAGTATGCCACATGTATGGCAATGATTGGACATTTGATGATCCCATGTCCACATACCAGTTCTATGTACAGAATGGTTCTTTATAGAGGTTTGTCTGCATGGTATCACCTTCCATTAGTAATTCAGGAAATAAATATTTAAAAAAAATTTATTGAAGCAAATTTTCATGAATTCAATATAGACAATGAAATTAGTATAATGTCAATCTTAATTGTGTTAGTAGTCTATATGTCTTAAATTTAACATTTTAAGGTGTATTGTTATTTTATTTGTATGAGTGTAATTTGCATAAATGTGAAGGTATTAGAGATGAATTACTTTGAATTGTGTCCTGAATCTATGTTTTAATTGTGATGCTGTTTTCATTAATTTTTGTAATTTGTTTTGTAATATGTTTTAACTGGACCCCAGGAAGACTAGCTTCCTTGGTTGACATCCTTATGGCAGCATCACAAAGTGTGTTGGCCAGAGTTGCCTTGCAGCTCCTCTACAGGCTGTGATAGCAGATTACACTCCACTCCTCTGCTGACTTTCACAGTACCAGAACACACACACACACACACAAATACATGTACTCAACAAAACACTAACACTAGAGTGAATTTTACAGATGTGTGAGACAGATAATCAGTTGAGCAAGACAGAAAAATGCACAAGGAAATTTGCCAGTTTATTTGTACTTTGCTATGAGTTAGGGTTGTGTCTTTTTCTTATTTCCTGGCAACAAATTGCACTCAATTGAAATGTATTGAAACAGGGTTAGTGGTAGTAAAACAGAGGAGCAGATAGATAGAGAAAATGTTTTCAGAAGGAGAGACGGCAATGAAACTGAAATAAAGAGAAAAGTTTGAAAGAGTCCATGAAGGAAAGAGCAAATAAGGAAAAGTAAAAGAGGCATAAGAGATATTTTCTTAAGCAATGAACTTGCTCTTATCAAAACAGCAGCAAATCTGCTGATAACTGCTTCCTTTACAGTACATGTAGCCTTTGGTCCAAGGTTGTGGCTTCCAGCTGTTATTTACACAAAGACACATACATGGACACAAACTGTCCTCCTCTACCTTGTTGTCCACAGCTGATAATGGCTCAAACTATCTGCATCTGTTATTCCAAAAGTCACACTCAGAACATAGATGATTAGCTATGGATGGTTGCACACAGTTGTTCCCTTAAGGTTTAAAAACATTTACAGATGCAGACTCTTTAGACCATGAGAGGAAGAGATTCAGACAGAGGAACAGAGGGGTGAAGTGATGTCTGATGTGTTTTTACACCTGGGGAGAGAAAAAGAAGAAAGACAACAAGAAAAACTAAGAGAGGAGGCACATTTTATGAACAAATACTTTGGCTTTGTGTTACTACTACAGTACATTCAGTCCTAAG